GTGAGCGAGCGGCTGCGTGGTGCTGAGTTGCCAGCCGGGTTAAACCACAACAGGGTATATGTGTCTGGTCATGCTATGTGCCTATGTATTGGGTCATATGGACCTGTCTAATATAGATTTATGTTATGCTACCAGAATCAAAGTTTTTTTTCCTCTGCATAATCCTCTGCTTTGTTATTGTTTCCCCAAGTGTTTCATGAGTTGTTCTCAGTAGTGTTACAGGTTTGAAATAGCTTTCATATCTTTTAAGATCTGACATCACAAATTTGATCACCTAATTTAACTTTGTGTAATAAGGCAGGTCATAACATCTCACCTGGTAATTCTTCAATTGCATAATTTCTTTTTAATCTATAGGCTATTGTTTAGAAAGACACTTCACCTTTGTTTTAATTCATTATTGCTTTTGTCCCACTAAATCCTAACACTGCATCACCAAAGTGTGCCTGCTTACAGCCAGTCTGGGGTAGCAGGCAGAACATGTGCTGAAGGTGAGCCGGCAGATATATTCTTAATGATGGTTTAACCCACACAGACTCCAGTATTTATTGCTGTCAGATCAGTGACTTCCAGGATGCCAGGGTCAAGTTATGACAGGGCACATGGTGAGGTGCGTGTTATCTTTCAGTTTTGTTCTCGTATTACACCTTGTTGGTTTGCATTACAAGAGTCTTTAAATATCATGTACTATTTTGTCTGTGTTGGTTGTCTTGAGTCATTCACTCTAATAAGTAATTTTGCTCAAGACAGTTAGTAACATTCATGTTTCTCTACCCAACAGTTGAAGTTTATGTGTTTTATGCTTTTGGTCAACATCTCATCTTATCCATAAGACGAAGAACCAGAGATTTGGGAGGTGAACCCTTACAATTCTGATTATGGTTATGGGATTATCCTGATGGACAGCAAAGGAATTTTGGAGGGCTTGGATGGGAAAAGGTTTTAGAAATAGCTTTTGTATGTTATATTTTTGGGAGTTATTACTTGAATAGCTTTTTTTTTGAAGAAGTAGACTATAAAACAGACTTTGACAGTCATCTTACTCTAGTCTTTCAACTATTTGAAAGCCAATACTGTCTAATCCTGACTCCAGAATAAGGGCATGGGTTGCTAAACATACAAAGAATGCTGCAAGTTTGATTTACAGTTTTCAGATTTAAGAATGGAATAATTGTGACATTATTGATCTAGTGGAAAAGCATCCTACAACATAAATTCTATCCCTAAAAAGGAGTTAAGAAAATGAGAATACAAATTTGATTAAATAAGAAGAAACAAGATCAACTTAACCTTCAATTTATGTTTGCAAATGAGAAAAATGTTTCTATTCATTTAATGTTTGTCATTCATGTAAGAAAACAGGTTCCTCTTAAGGAAGATCTGGTATTTTTTCCTCAAAAATTAATCAAAATCCCCATATGTTGTATGTCATAAGTACAGACTATTTGTCCATTGATTCTTTTTTTTTTTCCACTGAAATAAGATTCATGTAGCACAGCTTATTCTAAAGATATTTTTTTCTCTACCACAGAAACTTTCTGCCTTATAGTGTATGCTGAGCTAATGTATAATTAAACATATGTAATATTTCTGTTTGGATTAAAGATAAATTGTGTATCAGTGTATAGAATAATGAAATCTCATGTCTTTCTTACAAAGATGATTTTTTTTAATGATTGAAACAAATTGCAAGGAAGTGATTTATTTAATGGTTGAAAATATGTGAAATGTCTTCAGATGAATACTTAATTTAGGTTTTTCTTTTTAATTCAGTACTTGCAATAGCTAGCAATAACCATGTTTTATGCTAGTACATGCTACCTTTGGAGGACAATATAGAAGGCAAAAATTATTAAAAACTTAAAATAATATGCCTAGAGTTGTAAAAGGCAAAGAAATAATATTTTGAGGGTATTTGTCCTGAACTGTTGCCCAACTTCTCAAAATTGGAAGTTAAGATTAAATTTGTCTCCAAAAAATAAATTATTTCACTTACAGTTGAACCTGTAGGGTGTTAGGGAGGGGTTGGCCTCATCCAACCCAGTTACGTTGCACTGAGTGTGCTTCTCCCTCTGAAAGCTTTTGGCTAACCTTTGGCGATATCAGTCATGCATCTATTATGGAGAAGCAAAGCGCATACCTAAATGAAGTTCTTTTTTCTTTTATGATGGTATCTACATATCTGCCAGAATCTTCAATTCTTGCCGGGATTGTCTAAACTTTGATCTTCTACTCTGGGTTAATTGCTATGCAAGGATAAATGGTTCAAAGGATAAGCATGCTCAGCATGCTGCGACTTTCATCAACCATATTAAAGGAACGTGAGGTACAGGAATGAGTAAGATTTGTAAAACCATCTAATGATGCTTTTTGCAGTATGTGAAAGATTGTCTAAAGAAATATCTGGAAATAGCTTTTCTTGGCATCTTGTGTAATTCATGTAACACTCCTCCTGTAATCCAAAGGAAAAAAGTATACTTCAGTGCAATTTTTTTAAACCTTTTACAGTATTCTGGTAACACTCCTCCTGTAATCCAAAGGAAAAAAGTGCAATTTTTTTAAACCTTTTACAGTATTCTATGAAACACCCTGAATTCTGATGAGCTACTCTTTCTAATTCTTTTTCACCCTTCCAAATTATGTATTTAATGAACACAAAGAAAAATGGCTTTGACATAGAGCAGGAAGAATACAGGGTGTCAATTTATAAAGCTCCAGTGGATGGGAGCTAAACATATGAATAACATGCTCTTTGAATTTTGTGTTGCAGGTGAGTAGGGGTGAGTGTGTGTATAAAGATACCCGTGCATCTATCAGGGAATTAAAGATCACTGTAACAGGCTGCTTAAACAATTGATAAATTGGTCCACTTTCAAACTTCAGAGCAACAATTTACTGGATTAACATGCATTAACAATAGAGGTTAGCAGTGGTTAGTTTTCTTAATCGTTATCACTACAAACACAACAGTTGGTCTTTAACTTTTATATCCTAAATTAGCTGTGAGTATACAGTACCTGAGAGCTGATGCTGTATAGCTAGTGCTAGAAGTCAAGGTGGTCAGACCCGAGAGTGCTTTGATGGGGAAGCCAAAATCAAAATGGGCTCAGTTCTTCTCCATCTTTCTTTCCTCTCTTACCTTTGGTGATCCCTACCCTTTCTCCAAAGAAAGGGGGTGATTGCATATGCTCTTGATGTAATTCAGCATACTTTTGGGACCAGGTCTTGCTCTAATTTTGCCAGGCATCTTTCTTGCTTATTATGCGGTGTCATTCTGCTTCTATTGGGCATCTTTCCTGCTTCTTCTGCAGAACTATTTTGCTTTCACCAGATGTCTTTTCTGCCTGCTCTGTATCTTCAGTTCTCATCTTGCAGACTTCTGCATGTTTTCCTGTATCCTACTTGTGCAGCTAAATCACAAATCTCCATTTACCCATTGGTAGTTACATATTACATATATATTTATGCTCTGTTCTGTGGAAAAAATGCTCATTACTGGTTATGCTGTTGATAGTGTTACAATTCTACAGAATCCTTGTATGCCAGCTGGGTTTATGCTATTGTAGTGTGCTTATGTTGGGGTTCAGGACAAGCAAATGCAAATTATATCTACTTCTACTTTATGTGTGCAACAGGCCTCTGCTTTAAAAGTTGGTCCTGTCTTTTAACCGGAGTTGTATTTGATGTATTTCTCATCTTGGAGGCTCCATATCATTGAAGTAATTGAGAACATTCTGCATATTAGTTCTGCAGAGTGTGACTGCAAATAGTGCAGGAAAATCTTGTTTGTTTGATAGCTGTTTCTTTTGAGATTGAATTATTCTGGTAAGTAGTTTTTGTTCTTTAAGTTTCTGTCCTTTCCCAAACTCTATTTTAAGCTATACTTGTTTCTCAAGATTCCAGTCTTGTTAAAATATATCTTAAATTTTAAACCAACGCATTTTTTATGACTTCTTGCATTTTCCTTTATAGTGGAATTTCTGTGGAGCCATACAACAGAGAGCATGTGTGTAGGATATATGTCTGCACAGGATGGCAAAGCTAAGGTAAGCCATGAGGAATAGGTTGTAATGCAGTAGAACGTGTGCAGAAGGCAAGGAAAATATGAAGTAATGATAATTAAACATATATTTTTATAATATATAAATATATCTCTTTAAGAGAACAAAAAATTAATGGATGCATAAGCAGCTAAATGTATCTATTGATTGGGCATTTCTAATTCCTTTTTTTTTTAATTGCGGCAGTTAACAAACCTACATGCAACAGTTAATAAACCTATGCTAACGTGTATTATGTCAGGAGAAGGTGCCACAAACTTGTATCCGTTCCCTCAGCTGATAGTAATTGTATTTGAATAATTTCATCCAGCTTGATTCAGTTATACTGGCTATTTAGGGTGATACAGTATTTTTCTGTGGGCATGTCTTCCTTCAGATAAAGCAATTGCACCATCAAGGAAGAAAGGAGAGGATATAAAACAAACTTCAAGCTAGTTCCTAGAGTAACGTCTGTGATAAATAATTCGGTTATTAACATCTGTGTTTTCAGTTTCTTGGGGCCTAATCATATTTTTTTTTCAGTGAGAGAAACAATATATTAAAATTGAGTTTAGCAATGGAAACTGGAAAAGTCCCTAACATCAAGATGAAAGAGTAGGGATTAACCAAGAGGGTGAGGCACCTGCTCTTAGGAATCTAGTATTGAAGGGAGAAGGCAGCAGGTATTGGGATGTAGCAACTAGAGCATTTAGGAGAGGTGTTTGGGCAAAGAGAATGAACATGGGAGAGGCTGCAGGCAGAGACAGAATCATAATTTCTGTAGACATTTCTACATGTGTGGCCATAAATATTGAAGACTGAGTGAACAAGCAGAATTAGTTAAAGGAAGTGGGAAAAGGGGGAAAGAGCTAGAATAAGAAGGCTCCCCAATACAGTTAAAATAATGGGGGAGGCAGAGGTGTTTCCTGGAATACTTGCATGTATTAGAGGAGAAGATGGTAGCCAACAAGTTTATACCAGCAGATAAGAGCAAGACAGACACCCAGCATTTTGACAGAAGGATGAGTATTAAAGCCTGCAAAAGGAAAGAAGTTGAGGGCCTGGATTTGTTGGCTCTCTCAAAAAATGGCTGCTTGTGTATCTGCTGAAGAAGAAAATTTAGTCATCAGCAATGGAGGGGGAGAGAACTACAAACCCCCAATCTTTCTCTCTCCTTTTTTTCCACTCTTTTTTTCTGTATTTCATTGAGAGAAAAACACAAAGAAGGATGTGAGCAAGGTAGTAAAAGAATGTACAAAAGAAGGAAATCTACATCAGATATTTTAAACAGCAAGAATGGTTTAACATGCTTGTTGAAGCATTGGGAATAGATGAGTTCATCCTCAAGGAGTAAAATGTGTAGGAAAAAAAGGCAAGAATGCCCCAGAAGGAGGAGGAAGATAAAAAGCAGCTGGTGAAGGAAGTGCTGGTAGAGGTGTTTAGTGAAGTATTAGCTTTCATGACTTATGTAGAGTTCTTTCCAGTTAATTATCCATGGAATAGAGTGTGGTTTTACTTGTTTTCTTAATATTTACTTCAGATTTATTAGAAAAGAATCCAAACTCAAGCTAAAAGCTCAGACTGAACTGAGCGAAACTAAAGCAAGCTCAGCTGCAGATGTTCTAGTATTTGCTAGTTAGTTTTGAAATCATTATCTTCTGTTCACAGTGAAAGGAGAATTATTAGAATGCACAATGTTAAATTACTCCAGTGTGCACACCTGCCTCTGGCTTACACCACAAGGCTCAAAATATTATAGTTTCTTCCTGGTAGTGTCTGTCTGATTAATAAATAAATGCTAAATGTAAAATCTGTCTGGTAATGAGTACTAGTATGACAGTGCCATGCCCAGAGATGGTTTCCTACTCACAGTTGCAACATTTGACATCTGGTGTGCATTGTTTTCATACTGCTGGTAAATTCTCCAGCTGGTAATCTTGATTGCGCTGACAGACACAGCTGCTCTTCTTGGTTCACTTTAAATTATGTTTTTGACCTTCATTGAAGAGTTAATCCCCCTCCCTTTCTTCCTCCTTTGAGTCTGTGGCCACAAATGCTTTCCAGAGAAAAACCACAAATGCTTTTGCTGCTGACTTCTATTGATCAAAAAAGTCTTCTGTCATAAAAGCTGGAATTTTATTCTGCTACAACTAGGACTAAGTTATAGATGGAAAACTGGGCTTGAAATAGAACACAATGTATTGCAAGTAAAAAAAAAACCAACCCTTTAATAGAGTAACTGGTTTGATACAATTAATTTTGAGTGCTCACCATGAAAGAATAATGGTATAAGAATTCATAAGAGTATAAAATAGCACTTCCTATAGAGTACCATAGCAAAATGATCAGGCAGCAGCTTGTACGGAAACATCTTGCTTTTCTGTTTTTCTAGGGTGGTAAAGAGCTTCAGTTTTTCTTTCTTTCATCAGTCTAGGACTCAAGTTTTATTCTTAAACCAAGGGGTTGTCACAGTGGCTGATTTTGGGCTGGTTCAATTTAATGAACATGAAAACATATTTAAAGCAAGACTTTTAGAAAGTGAGAAGGCTTTTAAGTGTCTACTGTTATGAATTATACTAATATTAGAATCATAATTATGTAAAGGGGTACATACTAAGGAAAAAGAGGATCCTGCTTTATAATTCTAGCATGATTCTTTGTGTATTGGAGATTAATGCATTTCATAACAGGACCTAGCAAATGGTGGTTCTGAATCCCAGGTGGAGATTATGGAGATATGGGAGTCCTTTCTTACAAAGCAAACACTTAGATGCTTATAAGCCGGACACCAGCTCACCTGCAGACACTGGTACGCTCGAGAGGTGGAAACGTACTCAACCAAGTAACCTATCAGCAACTCCTTAAAAGAAGAGTGGGATGGGAAAGTGGAATTGGAGATTTGGTTTGTACATCCTAACCTGCCAGTGCTTCTGGCTTTTAGCACTGTGAGCTCTCCAAGTACTGATTTGGAAGCGTCCTTGCAATTTTATTTATCCTTGCAGGTTTATTTCCTCCGGATTTGGAAAAAGACTGGGTTCTGCAGCCAGCCACTTGCCTCCAAACTAGACTGCCTGAATGCTAACTTGCCAGCCTAAATGTATAAAATGGCTGAGCCTGCAAGAAGCCTGTGGAACAATTTTGCACTGTGACTAATAATTGTTTGATTTAAAGCATACTTTCTGGAAAGGTGTCCAGTCTTTTTTTGGAAAACCAGTTGACTGGAAAAGTCACTGTTCCCTTTTGAAAATGTTTGGTTAAATGTTACTTTAAAAACACCATGGAGGCTTGCCAGATAAACTAAGTTCACACCTTATTGCTGACACAGTCATCTCTGGTTATGTGTCCTATTACTTGTCTTTAGCTCCCTCTCAGCACTGAAAAAGTATTTCCACTCCTCCACCACTGATAGCACTGGCAATTTCATCTTCACTACCTGCATAGTGGATATCTCATTGACTTCCCTCTGATTCTTATGCCCTTGAACCCTTAAATCACTGCCATGAGCAGCTGATCAAAGCATATCCTTGCTGGTTCAGCTGTACTCTTCTTTGTTTCTTGTCATCCTTCTTGACATAAGCAGTTTCATAATCACTTGGTGCCTGTGTTTGTCACATATTGGATGTGGAAGGAAACAAACTTTTCATCTGAATGGCTTTGACTCTTCAATATACTTCTTGGAACTAAGCTATACCACCTATTGCTACAGCTTAGCCAGGCTGGTGCCTGGGAGCCTCAGCTACAGTGAGCTTAAGGGACAGATATATCCTGGTTTAGAAGTTGCCACTCCCAGACTTCCCTCCTGAAGCAATACCATGACGGGTTGTTTCAACATTAGGCCTGTTCTTTGGGAAGATGAATGGACTTCCCGAGATCTCCTGAAGCAAGTTCCTGCGTTGCCATCCATATGATGGTAGAATTGTTGCATAAGCTGACGCTTAACTATTTCTAGCCATTAGTGAGGCTGTTGGAATATTCTAGACTTCTGTGAAAGTTTCTGGTCACGGCCGTAAGAATAGATGGACAGTATTAGTCTGTGGACTTCCTCTGCACTTACGCGGATCCTTTTGTAGCAGTAATTGCTGCATCAGCAAAGGTTAAGACTTCTAGATTGAAGGACTGGGAGATGAAGTATCTTCCTAAACTGAGGAGGTATGTTTTTTCTTTTTTGTTATTGTGATGTTGACTCATTAATTACTTAATATGAATTCAAGATCTTTGATAAGCAGTTAGCTCTTTCAGATTTCCTGCCCAAAAATTTCTTCTCTTTCTGAGACACTAGTCTTCAGAACAACCTTCCAGATGTTTTTTTTTATGGATCCATAATAGAGCCAACAGCTGATCCTATGATCCTTAGCATCAGCTAAGAAGGTCATCCTGTTACTGGAGCTGTGACCTCTTCAAAGATACTCTGGCAGCTTTCAATTAATCAGTTCCAATTTTCCTGAACTGATTAGGTTACATTCTGAGAGCTTAAGCAATTCCATGGTCACCACTGGGAAAATAGCTCTATTCTGATGGCTTCAGTGTTGCTGCTTGGAGCTCTGTCTATGCTGTCCTAGGCGATGTGCAATATTTGAGGTCTTAATGGTTGGTGTAGCATTTGGTAGAATAGTTTTGAGTGTCAGTTTGCATGAAGGGCTGTGCCATGTAATTTGGGAGGGGGAGAAATAACTCCTTGAATTCATGCATAATGTGATTCTAGATGTAAATGGAGAATGGGAAGGAAAGGAGGTGAGTCGGTAGGTTACAAGTGGAATTGCCTCCTCTTAGTTACGTAGTCTTCATATTTTCTTCTTCCTTGTCTGCTTGCCCAATGGAAGATGCTGCAAAGGAAAATAATTTCTTCCATCTCAAATGACAGTGCAGCATATGCCTGCAATGGGAATTCACATAGCAACTGCATCTCTTGAAGGCTCTTGTTATGGGTAGGCAGCCTTTCTTCGATTCAGTGTAGTGTATCTCTGCATAATCAAGCAGGAGCCCTTTTATCTCGGGCAGGGTCTGCAGACTATTTGTTCACTCAAGGCCCACGGTATTCTGTGTGCAGAAAGTATGTGGGTGGGATGTGCCACAGAACTTCTTTTTTTCCCAGATGTCCCAAGTTTCTTATATTCTCTTAGTGATTTAGAGTAGTTGGTGGTGGATGATGTTTTTGCTTGACAATATGTACTTCCTCATTATATTTTCAGCAGTGTTTGAAGTCCGAGCGCTTTCTTTCCAATGAAAAATCCAATCTCAGTATCAACAGTGTGCACTTTTGGTCCTGCATTACGTGTAGGTATTTGAAATAATTTGTCACATCAGTATGGTTCTCAGTAGGTATACATTTACTATATGATCTGTGTATAAATGTTGCTAACTTCTGCAATTATTGTAAATGTTGCAATATTTTTGAGATACTCTTGTAGTTCAGCTTCATAGGTTTTAGGTTTTGTAACAGCTAGATGACCTAGACAACGAGTTTCTAAAAATCTAGTTGTAGTATTGAATGTAATCCAATTCAGTTGCCAGATTAAATCTGTCTTTGGCAGATACTCTGTTCTTTTAACATGAATTACGAAGCTTTATGTTATAGCAGGTTTTAATGTTGCAAAGCTACATATGCCATTCTTTCCATTTTCTAATGAACCAAATTCAAGTTGCTTTTCAAGATACGAGGTAACAGTAGTGGAGAATGTTGCAAATTGCTCTGTTTGAAAACATCTGTCAGCAGCAACTGCTGTCTACACCAAATGTTGTGGTTGCAATATGCAAACAGAAACTTTATCTTTGACAGTTAATTTCATTTTCCAGTATGAGGAAACATAGTGGACAGGGGGACCATTTCCAGTTCACTTTTCCTTTTGAGATGTTAGGTGTCGTAATCAGATTTATTCGCCTTTACTAACATGGTATAATTTAGCAAAATTACTTCCCTCTGTGTTTGAAGTGATACATATGACAACACTGACTGTAGTGATTGCTGTTGGTTTTCTTATGGACTTCTGTATTTTACTGGGTAAAAGGTTTGTGAAAGCCCTTTGTCAGGAGAAGGGCAGTTACCCAGTGCTCATTGGGTGAAGAAATACATCTTGGAAGAATCCTAATTCTAATTTGAAAATTAGTGGAAAAATTTACTGAGCATGTTTAGTTAACTGAAATACCAAGTCACATAATTCAGTCATTCATTTCAGACTACAGAGACAGTCTTTTAACTTCATGAGACAGGAAAAGTATATGTCACTGTTACACTTTTTTTTTTTTTCTTTAATCTGCGCTCTTCTCTGGAGACCAGGGAATCAGTCAGAAATTTTCACTTGAGAAGAACTCTGTGCATACAGTAGAGTATCCAGTTCTCTCATAAAAATAAGGTATTTATATTTGTTGGAAGTAACCTTCAGTGCTAAGATACCAGTTAAAACATTTGGGTTGTAGACCTTAATGGAAATTATGGGCTCTGAGATGGGAAGATAAGTTCAGTTTTTGGGGTTGAGTTCTTGCATAAAGCCAGTAGTTCTGGAACTCTCCTTGGATTTGGCCAACATATTTTAGAACGGACCAGAGAAGATGGGATTGTGTGTCCAGGTATGCAAATATAAATGCAATAACCTGTCTTAGCACCTGCAATTCAGAATGGTAAAAATCACATTTTAAGGCATATGGCAGTATTTTAGCATACCTCTACAAAAGCCTGGGACGCTGAGCTGAATAGATGATTGGTTAGTCCATGGCTTTAGACTGTCTAAATACATGTATGAGTTAAAGAGATTAAAATGCTTTAGTTTTCAACTTTCTTAAAGTTTTAATTTTTTTCTAATGCATTGTATGAATGTTTTTAGACACATAAATAGCGTGTAGTAATATGCTTAACGCACAGAATGAATTTGAGCTTGGAAAACTATTAGCTTCCTAAGCAACCTGTATGTAGAATCAGTATTTTCAGTGCCTGAGAGCCAGAAGCATGCCATCAGTATGTCTGTCTGTCTTTTGCCCACGAGGACAATCATTCTGGAGCCTCTCTCCCCCCTCTGCTCTTTTGTTGTTTTCTTTTTTAAGATTTCACCAAACGATTTGCACATGGGATGTTCTGATAGCAGCAGTTGCCAGTATTTTGCAGGGCGCCTTCTCCTTCTGTATGGCAGGAGTACATTCAAAGCGTGCTGGAGGAGAGCTTCCCAGGAGACAAAGCAGCAGAGGATGGCTGTTGCTGCTAAAACGGGTTATTACTGCCTAAAAGTGAGAATAGGTGGCCAGGTGGTTCTCGTGGTGGAAGCGTGTACCCAGCTAGAAAGTTTCTTGACCCCTGAGTGATTGTGAATGTCTAAAGAATATAAGGGTTTGGTGGTTCTTTTCTTCAAGGAGTAAGGTGGTAGAAAAGAATTTCATTCCGTATATGATGTTCTTGGTCTTTTATTATATTTCATCTCAATAGGGTAATGAATGGAAAAAGTTTGTTGTGTAAATTATTCTGTCCAAAGCACATCCTGAGCATGTAATAAGAAAGCTAAACACATGAAGTACTCCCTAGATTTGCTTAGTACTCCCTAGATTGCTTAAGAACTGAATGTGCTGCCATCTGGTAGTTGTACTCTGCCCTCTTGGCAGCGGTTGGTTGACTTCAGTTTTTCTCATGCAGCACTGTCTGTCTTTTGGCTTAAACCTTATATTTATTTTATATTGTATTTAAGCTTTTAATGAAAAAAAAAATGAAGCTGTTGTGGCAAACTAATACTTGTATGTGAATTAAAGTGGGCGACTAGCTCTTTAAAAATGTCTTTTTTTATATTAGTTGGTCTCAAGGTTGTTTCAGAATCTTTGTCTATGAGACATGAACTAAAGTAGGTCTTGGCACAACTTGTAGTATTTATTTTTTTAAAAAGGTATACTAGAGATAGGTAACTTGAAAGGAGATCAAATGTTTATGATGAAAAGACAAAACCATATATCGTCCTGGTAGCAGTTAACACTTATTCCAGGGCAGAAAGACCGATCAGTTTTGGACTTGAAAGGTAGTGGGAAACTTTCCAGTGTGCATCAGAAGGGACTGGGAGATAGTAACGTTCCACGGGCAGTGTATGCACCGTTGGCCTTGGGGGAGTTGGTTGCTACGTGGTTTTGGTTTGGTTAGGAGGAAAAGAGGGAAACGTGTTTGGATGGCAAGTACAGGGAGCAAGAATTGGTGTCTGAAGGCTGGTTAGCTTGTCTGTGCTTTATGGTGGGGTGGGAAGCAAAATCAAGTATTTAATCTTGGATTTACCTTTTTTCCTTTTGAACTATGGTTCCTCCGTTAAGCTGCAGACACAGATCTGTGCTGACGCACTGGTTTCCTAGCTGTCAGGATCTCTGCGCCTACTAGGCCCTCACCAACCTTGCTTTTTTCTAGGAAAGCAAATGAAACCAGAATATTCTCAGGGACAGGAAAATTTCTATTTATGGAGCTGAAGATACGGATAGGCCTGTCGTCCTTAATCTGCCTTTCCTTGGCATACGGTTTCCTCAAAGAGAGGCTTCCATGAAGCCAAGTGGAGGATTAATTCAGGAAAACTTTTTCTTTTCCTGTTTTTATGCTCCCAGGCATAAAATTTCCCCCAGATGTGAGTTCATTCAACTTGTAAAGCTGACAGACTAATCGAATTCAATTAAAAGCTTTCCAGTGTTGTTCTTTTTTGTTTGCTTTTTATTTTTATGTTTTTAAAATTTAAACCTAATCCACTGTACAATCTGGACTTAATGTAAAATATGATGTTGGAATATAAAAATGTAACAAACTGTACAAATAAGTTCTGTGGTTGTATTTAAAAATATTAAATGTTCTTTGATCTTTCTTTTTATTTACTAGAGTTTGTTCTTATGGCTAAGAACAAGGGAGATATAATTGTAAGAATTCACTTGGGAGTTTATCTGAAGTTGTCTTGGCATGGCAATGTTATCCTTTCATATTACTTATTAGGTAACATTTTAAACACTATTATCTTAGATCTGTCTCGTTTTTGTTCTACATAAGGCAGCCATTGGTGAAAGTAATAAGAAGTCAGTGTAAAACAGCATCTGTATTTGCTCTGTCATATAAAGTATGCAAACAGACAGGATGCAAGTAAAGGCTTTAAGAAAGGTTTTGTTATATGTGGTTTGGGTGTGTTTCTGTAAATGGAAATGTACAGATGCTAGTGTATAGTGATTTGGAGTCTTCTGTATGGGAAATGTGTTTTTCCTTTTATAGGAAATGAGGGTTTGTATAAGAAATTTATTTGGACAGCTATTTAAGCATAGCTACTTGATAATGTATTGCCAGATAGTGACTATCTGCTTATCCCCTCTTGTATATTTTCCTTTCCTTGCTGAAAAACTTAATAGGATATTATTCTTAACTATTTAAAATGACAGGATATATGAATTTCATGTGGATTCAATGAAGCCTCACGTTTTGCTCCTGTAATTATGTAAGGGTCTATTAGGCATTGAACTTTGGATTGCGGGATTAGTCAAGCCTATGCAAAAGGTTTAATTCATAACTTGGGTCGGAAGACTCATTTACACAAATCAGGTCTGTTGTAGTTACAACGAAAAATGTTCATTATCAAGATTCATGATAATCATGATAGTGCCATAACTGTTGTTTCAGTAACAAGCTTCCTCTCATATGCCTCTTGGCAGCATCCTTGGGCTTCTCTGCTTTTTATTGTATTACTACAATGATCTGCTAATAATTCTGACTGATCACTGTCTAAGCAATCTCACGTACAAATAATGCATGCCTCAGAGTGGGCCACTGGTTTGCTTTGATTGCAGTATCTCACTGAACAGTCAGCGGCATTCTTCCACTGAGGAAATTTGCTACTGTGCCCAACAATGCTGCTTTTACACTGCCATCCTATCCCACTTTGCATTTAGACATTTTCACAGACCTGGAAAAATGTCTTGCGTCTGTCGGCCATAAAATAGAAATTACCCTTCTTCCACTTGTTTTTCTTCCTTTTTCTTTTTTTTCCCCTTTAAAATTATGAAATAACATCTCCAAAAATTGTCAGTTACATATTGGGGGAAACTGTAACAGATTTGAAAAGAATCTTTTCTTCTTGAAGTGGTAAATCACAGTTGTAACCAAAATTGTTCGGAAACTAGGAAGATGTTCATATATCAAGCAGGAAGGCCAGAGATCAAAGTTTTAGCAGTAAAATGAAAACCTTTAAATGTTTTTAATTA